TTTTTTTTTGGTCAACATCGAGTCGGGGCAAGCAGACAAGCGGGATGACGAAGCAAGGGGCAGTCTACTTACGACTTTGCGAAGCTTTCGGACGATGGTACGACGCTTCAGGTCGGCCTGTTCGCGCTCGTGGTCGGTGAGCGAGGCCTCGTCGCGGAGGTCTTCGGCGGACTTTGTGTGCATGACGAGGTTCTCGAGCATACCGGAGAGGATGCCGATGACGAGGGAGGCCTCGAGAGCCTCCCTGGCGGCGATGAAGAAGATCGCCGGAGCGAAGACCTTGTTTCCGACGGCCATGTTTGAAGACCCGTGGCTGGGGAGGGTATGAACAGTGGAGGTGTAACGATGAAGGTCGAAAGCAAAGGCGGGTCTGCGAGCCTACGACTTGTTGTAGCACAAGGGGAGGCTACGTGGTGCGGCCCGAGGGTAAAGGTACCGGGCTTAAAGGCAGGACCGACAGCAGTACCAAAGGCAGAAGAAAAAAGAATCGAGGCCTTGTGTAGGGTGTCTTGTCTGATCTGATAAGCGACAAGTCGGGAAGATGGAGCCGAGCGGGAAGCGACCAGGTTAAGCGTGGCAGAGAAGCGTCTCGGTGCAAGGCCAGCGAGGCGCGAGTACACTGGCGGAGTGAACGTTCGTGTGAGGTGAGAGCGAATGAGACGAGGGATCGCAGCGCAGCGCGGGTGGCTCCGGAAGGAAGACGACGAATGAGGCTTTGAGGCGGCAAACGCGCTACCACGAGACGTCCGGTTGCGGTGAGTGTTGTGAGAAGCAATGAAGTGGGGCTGTCGGGAGAATGCAAGCTTCGGGGCTTATCCAGAAGAGGAGGCGCAGAGAAGGTTGGGTGTGGGAGCAATGAGGGAGGGGAGGGGAAAAGAAGTGCAGGCTGCAGTCGAGGTTGAGGGAGAGGAGGGGCAATGCGGGTTATCAGATGAGAGAGTCTCTCTCGACGACGGCGATCCTCAGGCTTGGTCCGGCCGAAGTTTAGACATCGGACCGTCCATTCATTCAAGCATTCGGCAAGGTCCCGCCCTGCCTTTTTGTTCTGTTGCCGACGAGCGTCGCAGTGGGGGAAGCGAGTCGAGGCAGTACGGCAGCCACAACACGAGACGCTGAAGCTGTGGTTTGAGGCTATTTCGCTTACAGCGCAAGCCACAAATGCGGACGACGAATCGCAGCGCCAAAAGCGATGTGAACAATAACGAAAGGTTCGGGAGCAGCCGGCCGAACAAACTCTGTCTGTCTGCGCAGGGCAGGAGAGCGAGCAAGCTCAGAAAGCGGGCCGCTGGTTTATCAGATAGAAGAAAAACGCGCTAGAGCAGGTACCACGAGCCGGCACGGCCTGGACCGAGGCGGCGGCGACCCTTTTCTGCACCCTCTTCCCACGCGAGGAGGAACCGACCCACGGTCTAGCGGGGAGCCGCATGCCAGAAACAAAACGAAAAAAATGTCGGGCTGGCCAGGCTGAAAACACTTTCACAAAAAAGTTCGATATGCAGATCGTGCATGCACTTCATCAGCCGTAGGGCGGACGCAGTGACTCCGACGGCTGCGAAGTTTCGCATGGTGCGTGCGCTGCAGCCGTGGGTTTGGCGGGCATGGCGCTGCCCATTGTTGTCTGAGCCGCCTCTTCCGCCCCATCTTGTCTGCCTTTGTAGCGTTCGTGCGTGCCTCACCGATGTTCCCATTCGCTTCACAGGGCATCACTCCCTTCGGCGGGCTTCCGAAGCTACATTGACACGCTCGCAGAGAGCGAGGGGAGGGGAGAGTGGGCTGCGTGACTCATTCGAGCGAGGCGGCGGAGTGGGGATTCTGCGACGGATGGGCCGACTCGCCAAACAAGCTCAGATGTGATTGGCCAGAGCGTCACCTTTTTTGTTCTTGTTTTTGTTCTTCTTGTTGTAGGCGAGCTGTCGGGCTGCCATGCATTAATTGCTCGCCTCGTGAGGAGTCGCCGCTCTTCGGCCGTCCAGCCCGCTTCTCTCGCTCGGTCCACGCCAGCAGGGGGAGAGAAAGCAGCGCAAAGGCACTGGAGCGCTGTAGAGCACCCTCTTATCTGATCCGATCTGATACACTGCTACCACTCGATTTTTTCATCATACTCCTTCCTGTGCTCTGTCTGCCTTCGACTCGTTTCCCCCACCCAGGACAGCGGTGCACTGCTCCGGCTTGAGCTGACCGACATTGTGTTCGGCCCTCTTCACAACGTCCGCTGTTGAGCTTCTTCGATCGAGTTTGAGCTCAACCTTGTTCGGCTTTGGCTCGCCGCGACCCCCACTCCCTGTCCTTCGCTGCTCCGCTTGGCTCCATTCAGTCCCTCTCTTCATCCACTCCTGGCCGAAGCCGACATCCTCCCATTGGATGCCTATGCCTCGGCTCGTTCACGGTCTCACTCGCTATACTCACCAGCTTTACCGTCCAATCGTCTGCCTCGACCCTTCTCCCGCTCCTTCCCGAACCGCACCTCCCTAGACCGGCTACGACAATCACCTGTGCCAGCCTCGCCCTGCACCTTTTGCGCCACGCCAGCCTCGCTCCCGCTTATCAGATCACCTGCTCTCTTTGCGCTCGATCAGCTGAACTTACTTTTCCGACACTGCAATCCATCGGCAGACCTCTCTCGCCAGCCGCTCCAGACATCCATCTCCCTTGCCTCGAGCCTTCCGCACGCCTAAAGCAAACCTCTTGAAATCTTGCCAAGTCTCTGATAAACCGACAGTCAGTCGATCCAGGGAGCCATATTTCCCCTCGAGGAACTTGCTCTTCGCTCTTCGCACGTCGTTATCCTCCTCTCTCCTTCCGTCCCTCCAAGCCACGCTCCTTCATCGTTGTGAACACATTCATACACGATGGTGCGAGCGACAACTAGCGCAGCTCTGCCAGCTGTGGCCCTGCTCGCCTGCTCGCTAGCCTCACTCATCCCTGCTGCCAGCGCGGCCACCGTCGAGCACCACTGGAACATCAACTGGATCCCCGACGTCAACCCAGACGGCCTCTTGCCCAGGCACGTCATCGGCGTCAACGGCACATGGCCACCCCCCATCATCAATGTCAACGCCTCCGATACCCTTCGCGTCACAGCCACCAACAACCTCAACACCGGCGTCGGCACCTCCCTTCACTCCCATGGCATGTTCTTCAACCGCACAGGCTACTTTGATGGTGCCGTTGCCATCACCCAATGCCCCATTCCTCCCGGTGAGAGCTTGACCTACGAGACGCTCAACTCGCCTGCCTCCCCCGCCGACCGTCGCAAGCAGATGGGCACCTTCTGGATCCACGCCCACAACAACGACCAGTACACCGACGGTCTGCGCTCGCCCGTCATCATCCACCCGGACGACCCGGCGGACATGCACTACAGCTACGACGACGACTACACCGTCATCCTCGGCGACTGGTATCACTCCAACTACACCGACCTCGTCAAGAACGAATTCATGAACCGCAAGAACCCCACCGGTGCCGAGCCCGTGCCCAAGTCCGGCCTCATCTACTTTGCCCACACGCCTAACACCACCACCGCTGCCACCTACCTCCCCGGCTTTAGCGAAAACGCCACCCTCCCCTTCGAGGCCGGCAAGACCTACCGTCTGCGTGTCATCAACATGTCCGCACTCGCCGCCTTCTACTTCTACCTCTCCGGTCACGACATGCAGGTCATCGAGATCGAGGGTGTCGACGTCGAGCCCCGCTCCGTCGACTTCCTCTCCCTCGCCGTCGCCCAGCGCTTCAGCGTGCTCGTCAAGGCGCGCAACGACACCTCGCCCCAGAACTGGAAGCTCCACGCCAACATGGACGAGGACATGTTCGACGTCGTCCCCGAAGACCTCCAGCTCAACGTCACCGCCACCATCTCGTACCCGAATGCTCCCAAGGGCGAGTTTGGTCCCGAGAAGATCATCGAGGAGTACACATACTTTGACGACCTCCAGTTCACACCTGTCAACGCCGAGCCCATGGTCCAGCCCGATGCTACCCACCGCCTCGACGTCTCGTTCGACACCATGTCCGACGGTGAGAACTACGCCGCCTTCAACAACATCTCGTACGTGGCGCCCAAGGTGCCTGCGCTGTTCACGTCCGAGTCGATGGGTGCTCTGGCCTCCAATCCCGCCATCTATGGCCCCAACGCTAACGCCTTTGTGTTCCAGCACAACGACATGATCGAGGTGCAGCTCTTCAACTGGGACGCGGGCAAGCACCCCTTCCACCTGCACGGCCACCATTTCCAGGTCGTCCACAAGTCGCAGGACGTCACATCGGACGACCCGACCATCAACCCACCCTTCAACGCCTCGCAGGTCAACCCCATGCGCCGCGACACAGTCGTAGTGCCTCCCGGTGGTTCGGCGTACCTCCGATTCCGCGCTGACAACCCGGGTGCCTGGTTCTTTCACTGCCACATCGACCCTCATCTCGTGTCGGGCCTCGCCTCCATCTTCATCGAGGCGCCCGATGTGCTCTCCAACGACTACCTTAATGTGCCCAGCTACATCAAGAACCAGTGCCAGGCGCAGGGCATCGCCACCACCGGCAACGCTGTCGGCCTCAACTCCACCACCGACTTCCAGGGTCTCAAGAAGGGCCCTACGTATCTCGAGTCGGGCTGGACAGGGCGCGCGATCGCTGCCTTTACCGGCTGCATCGTCACTGGTCTCCTCGGTCTGGCTACCGTCGTTGTGTACGGCTGGCATTCGGGCGAGGACGAGGACGTCGACGACGATGAGGACGACAAGTGAACCCTCCATCACCAAGAGGTCTGAGACCATCAAATACAGAATCGCACAGGAGGCGCGTGCGACGCTCTCAAAATGTAATAGCATTGTATACAGATATGGCAAATGCATACGTTCGTGTTCTCTTTCTGGCGTACGTGTTCGCGAGGTCCAATCACGAAAGCTTGCGTGTCTGGAGCGGTAGATTGAAGGGCTCGATCGCGCGTGTCGTTGAGCTTACGTTTGGCGTGGGGGAGCGAACCTGGACCGATCAACTGTCCGCGCGATGGAGTGCTTTCGTGCACGGATGAGGAATGGCGCACGCTCCCCTTGCTCCAGGGTATCATTTCGCATCGACACGGAAATCATTCGTGTTACACTCGCACGCACCTTGAGCTTTGTTTGGCTCGACCTCAAGCTCATCTTTAAAGGTGTCCATGATCTTGTCTTCGCCCACAGCTCGATTGCTTGGCAACAAATGAGGCGACAGCAGTAGCCGTACAGCTGTACCACTCAGCTCCCCCTTTCGATAGTCTCGAAAGTATAAGAAGGCCAGCATAGCGGCTGTCTTTGCCTCATCATCTGAACCTCCCAACTCGGCCTTCCTTTCGATTTCAACATGACCAGGTTTTATGTTGTGCTATGGATCTATGTGGCCTGTCTCGGTCTAGTCTCGGGTCACGGAGACATCCCCAATGCCAGAAGACACAGTGGCGTGCGAGCGAGGCTCTGGGGTCGAGCCATGCGTGTATGGACGCCTCGACAGGGCCCTGCTCGACGCTCAGTCTCGGAGCACGGCTCCATGCCCGAGCCCTTTCTCGAAAACGGCTCTCCCGGCTGGACCTTTGACAACATCTACAATGTAGCCCACTGGGATGGTGGCGACAAAGCTACTTGTCCCGCTCCCGCCAAGTCTCTTCCTGCAACCGGATCCAAGACCATCCAAAAAGGCTTCAAGCAAGAATTCGTCCATTTCTGTCAACATGGCAACACTCCCACTCGGATTCCCGATCAGAGCGTCTGCATCACCAAGCCTCACAAAGTGTCTTCACGCGGCAGCAAGGTCAAGCGCGAGGAAGACGAATCCGACTACGAAGCTCGCATCATTGCTGCCAGTCTCGCCACTGCAGCTGAGGATGATGCGACAAACGATGATGCGGCACTGTCGAAGCGCACACCGCTCGCTGCTGCGCCTATGATGGGCATGATGGGTGGCGGCGGAATGCCGGGCATGTCCACCTTTATGCCGCTCATCAACACTGGTATTGACGCTGGAAGCAAGCTCGGCGTCGCCTTCCTACAGTATCTCACGCAGAGAGAGAAGGACCAAGCCGAAGCCAAGAAAGCGGATCCTCTCGCCGGGGCCCGGAATTCCACACAAGCGGCGGGTGATCCATTGGCCGCTAGCACGGCTTCCCTCACTGATAAAGCATCAGCTTTGACCCCTGCCACAAGCAGCGCTGACGGGTCATCTGGATCGAGCTCTGGTGCCAGCGGTATTGATGGTGCAGCAACTACCGGTGCATCGGGCAGTGCTGATTCGTCGGGAATCACAGACACGGCTGCATCCGACACGACGTCTCCTAAACCGGATGCAGATTCGCCAAGCACTGTTGGAGGGGCGACAACGGAAAAGGGCAGCAGCGGTGACACTGGATCCGAAGATACCGGCCCAAGCGAGGCCGGTGACTCCGGTAGCCGTCTGGCAAAATCTTCCTTGGCTGACGATGTCGTCGGCTCGTCAGCTACTAAGTCAATGTCTAGCGGTCTGAAGTCCGTCGGCTCAGCAAAGGATAGCTCGGCGCCAGATGATGCGGACGACCTTTCTGGCACGTCGGTCAAAGCGAGTCTTCCCCGGGCTCGATCGTCAGCCGGTAGCGCGAAAGTTGGCGGCTCGACACTTGACAGCTCAGCCATTGGCGGCTCGACTGATGTCGGTTCAGCAATGGGCGGTTCAGCCGGTGGTAGCTCGAAGGCTGGTACTTCCGGTCACGCAGCATCCTCCTTGGGGTTCAAGGGCAAGAGCAAGCGCGACGCTACCCCGCACCCGGTCACGCATTCGGACCCTGCCACGACCGGATCGTCCTCAAAGTGCGGCGGCTCTGCGGTGCAGTGTAAGAAGCTCATTGAGCGCTCCATTCCCTACTGTGTCCCGCACAAGCCCGCTCCAGATGCGCCGCCGCACACACACGATGACGACGACCCGGACGCGGTCTTGTCGTCAAAGATGGTGGGTACCATGATCCGCGTCATGGCACGCCACTGTCTGCGCAAGTGCCCGGGCTTTGTCGGTCTCGCCAAGTCCGACCATGACTTCAAGAGCAAGACCGAAAAATGTGCTCACGACACCAAGCTCTTCAACAAGTCCCTCGCGCATTCGTCCAAGCCTGCGCACAAGCATTCTCCCACGACCGAAAATGCCCTCGAGTCCAAGCAACCCAAGCCTGAGCATGCTTCGGAGCCCGAAAAAGCCTCCAAGCAGCCTCCTGCACCAGACGCAGCCAAAGACGAGGCAGGCCCCATGTTCAAACGAGATGTGACACCTGCTAGGCTGCCAGAGCAGTGTCGTGGTGGCTACGAGGCTGTGTTCCGAAACGCGCTGCAGCCCGTCTCTGCCTACCAAGGTCAGCTGTTTGGCTCGGTCGTTTCGGATCCAGGGTCGTTCCTGCACTGGGGTCTCGTCCGCAACGTCGCACAGTGCAAGCGTGCATGCGACGAGACCCAAGGCTGCGTCTTTGTCAACGTGTACCAGCAGACGTTCGGCCTCGACCATCCCAACATCCGGCTCGTCAGTCGCGATGTCAACGACGAGGTGAAGCTGCGCAAACAGTTTGCAGGCAAGCCCGAGGCTAAGAAGAACTCGTTCGTAGAAGGACATTTGACATGTGCGCTGTACTCGCGCTGCTTCCGTGGCTGCCAAGCAACCCACCGCAGCGGAGAGAATCCGGTCTTCTTTGAAAAGTCGATGGGATACTGCAAGTCAGACAAGTGCAATCCCGCACACAGTCCTTTCACTAGATCAATGTAACACTTGTCTCGATTTGAATTGCAAGTTGTTTTTGAGCAGCGATGTGCGACGAAAGACGAAGGATGAGATGGAGGTGAGGAGCTTTAGTGGCCGCAGATGCCGGAGCCACCGAGCGAGCCCGAGGGATAGTAGACAGCAGGCTGGCCGCCGGTGAGCTGGATAGTGACAGTGCCGCTCGTACCGACGCTGATGGTCTTGCAAGAAATAACATCCTGCAACTGACCCGAGGGCAGCGAGCTAGCCTGCACGTAGAGGTTCTGGGTAGCGCCCGAGCTTCCCGCCGACGAAAGCGCCACGACCATGCCGACCTTGCGGAAGACCCAGGCCTGGCTGTCATCGTACACGCTCGTCAGCGGCGTCGTAATCGGGTTGTTGGTCGTCAGACCCTTGACGGCCTTCCTGAGCTTGTTGACCTTGACGATGTGCTGGTACATCTCGGACTGCGTGTTGTAGTTGCTCGTCCACAGAGCCTCGCGGTTGTACGGGTCGTTGCCACCATTGAAGCTCTGCTCCTGACCGTAGTAGATGATCGGAATACCGTCACCGGTGAGGAGGTAGGTGATGGCGTTCTTGGCAAGCGCCCGGTCGCCCGTGAGCGAGGGGAAGCGAGGCTGATCCTGGTTCTCGAGGAAGTTGGTCAGCAGCATCGGATCCTTGAACTGCGAGCGGATGGTGTTGATCATGTTCTTCATCTCGGTGAAGCCCTGCGCGGGCTTCTGGAACGCACGAGTGAGCGGGTAGAAGATCGGGTAGTTGAGGATGCCATCCATGACACCCTGGTATGGCGAGACGTACGCCGGGTCGCCCGAGAGCACCTCGCCCGTGCAGTAGACACCAGCATTCGAGTTGAAGCCCGGCCAGAAGTCCTTGCGGACATGCTTGACCGTGTCGACACGCAGACCGTCGATCGAGTAGTTGCCCACAAGGCTCTTGACCCACGTGTAGAGGCCATTGTACACGGTGGGGTTCTCGGTATTGAGGTCAGGAAGACCGTCTGACTGCGACGAGCCGAGCCAGCACTGCTCGACGTTGGTCTGGTTGTTGTAGTTGCTGATAGTGCAGAAGGGGTGGTAGTGCGACGGCTGGTTGAACGGCTTGTAGGCACTCGGGTTGTTGCTCGCATAGTTGCCGTTGACCTGTTGACCCATGTGGTTGGCAACGACGTCGACCATGAGGTACATGCCGCGGGAGTGCAGTGCCGACGAGAGCGCCTGCAGGTCCGAAGCCGAGCCAAAGTGCGAGTTGATCGAGTAGAGGTCCTGCGACCAGTAGCCGTGGTAGGCGTTCTGCGAGTCGACGTTGGTCACGACGGGCGAGATCCAGATGGCGTCGAAGCCCATGTTGGCGATGTAGTCGAGCTTCGAGATGATGCCCTGGAACGTGCCTCCGCAGTAGACGTTGGTACCTGCACCACACGACGAGGGTGTGACGCCGTTGGCCACACCAAATCGATCGGTGACGATCTGATAGATGGTACGTGTCTTCCACGCAGCAGGTGTAGCAGCATCCACACTGCTGCCCATGAGGGCGACCGAGGCCGCCAGCAGCGAGCCGATATGTGCGAAGTGCATTGGGAACACAGAGACGAGGAACTGAAGAGCGCCTTGATGGGTGGGAGTAGACGGAATGAGACCGCTTAAAGCTGAGTAGACTTCACAAGTGGGTTGAAAGAAGATTGGGGCCGTATCGAGCTTGTGAGGCGGCCGCTTTTATGCCCTGGAGCTGCTGCTTGCGCGCGGAGCTTTGCAGCAAAGTCGAGGGTACCCGGATGCTCCTCTAGCAGGTATGTTGCACGCTGCTATCCGCTAGCGCAAGAAGAAGCAGAGTCTCGGCAGAATGGAGGGAGCAGGAGAACTTCATGCTGGTCCTTCCATATCGGGATAGATCTCAGCTGCGCATGAAGAGGGAACCCACAGTTGCGCCGAGACTCTTTGCCGCAACGATATTGATCGCCGAGGCATCAGTGGGCCTCATGCTCGTCCTTGTAGAGATCTGCGGTTCACGCGGAGGATGATGGCCATCGACATACAACCATGCTGCAGCTTTCCAAGCTAGTGGGCAGCATCTCGTGTCGGCGTGCGGGGCTCCGTAAGCTCGGCTAGGGCATTTGCGCCGAATTCTTCCTTCCGACCCTCGAGTCGGACGCGTCGCTCGAAAAAAAGCAACGTCGGTGCGGTAACTCTTGCCATCACTTGGGCGGGACTGTTGCACGGAACGAAGGTGGAGACTCCACACCATTGCGGTGCTACGCTGTTGCGGGGATGCGGGGATGCAAGCATGGATAGCCGTCGGATCGGAGCGCAACGCAGCATTGCATCGCCGAGCGGACGAACGGGCGGAGCCTCTCGGCAGGAAGATCCTCGGTAGGTTAAAGGCCTCACTTTTTTTTTACAATTCCGGGTGACAGCTGACTTTTTTCGCCCCTCGAGCCACTTTGTTCATCAAATTCCGCCGCTCAGCAACACCAGTCAAGCCGGAGTTCTTCGAGCCAGAAAGTACAAGGACAGCACAATGCCTTGCCTACACATCTGCGGCCATAGAACCTTGAAAGC